GGAGGAAAAAAAATTCAAAAAGCATATTAACAGGATAATTGGGGAAACTGGTAGGTAATATTTAACCAATCCAGGATTTTAGCATGGAGTAGACAATGATGCCAATTACAAATGAGTTTGGTCTCTTCCTTAACATACTCACCATTCACTTGAAATACAATTATGAGTTCTTCAAGCAATGTCATGTATTTTAGAAATGTTTCTTTTAAAAGAGTATATTTAATTCCATAGTCATGTATTCACTTTGTCATCTTTACTTACTCGTAACATTCCTCTGTGTGGTGTCTATTTCAGTGATAATTTGCTTTATATGAAATGTTGCTTATTAATCTGACCTTTGACCTCTTTTGGATGGTAAAGCACAAGAATATAATCAGTGTGTGGTCATGAACATCCAATATAATTAAGAAAACTGACATAGGCAGCTATATTAGAACACAGAAAGAAGGGAATAAGAGAAGTAGATGTTAGCAATGACCATCCATACGGATGTTCTGGGCATTTTATTTATTTTTTTATTTTTTTTATTTTTATATATTTATGATAGTCAGAGAGAGAGAGAGAGAGAGAGAGAGGCAGAGGGAGAAGCAGGCTCCATGCACCGGGAGCCCGATATGGGATTCGATCCCGGGTCTCCAGGATCGCGCCCTGGGCCAAAGGCAGGCGCCAAACCGCTGCGCCACCCAGGGATTGTTCTGGGCATTTTAGATTACGAAAAAAATAAACACTATAAAGCCCCCAACGTACTCTATAAATGCTTACATAAATGTGATGTCTTCTGTTCATAAATGCTGATTCACTGTCAAAGGCTAGATGCTTATGATTATAATGCTATTTAGCAATGATGGCTGAAATGAGCTATTCACACATTTTCTTACCTAATTTTCTTAGTGGCCACGTCTATGTAACAATTTTTGTCAAGGAGACTCTAATTAGCTCTAACAGGGACTCTGACCTTATTATCCTAACAAATTAGTATTCATAACTGCAAAAATAAGTACTACAAATTATCTAGCATTCTAGAATGGTTTTGGTTCAAAACTGATATATCAGTAAACCCCCCTCTACCATTCCTTTGATTGTCAATTAAAATTTATATTCTTCATAGAACAAACTGATACTTAAGACTTTATCTCAGGGGATCCCTGGGTGGCGCAGCGGTTTGGCGCCTGCCTTTGGCCCAGGGCGCGATCCTGGAGATCCAGGATCGAATCCCACATCGGGCTCCCGGTGCATGGAGCCTGCTTCTCCCTCTGCCTATGTCTCTGCGCCTCTCTCTCTCTCTCTCTCTCTCTCTCTCTCTGTGACTATCATAAATAAAAATTTAAAAAAAATTAAAAAAAAAAAAAGACTTTATCTCGGGACACCTGGGTGGCCCAGCGGTTGAGTGTCTGCCTTTGGCTCAGATCATGATCCTGGACTCCCGGGATCGAGTCCCACATCGGACTCCCTGCATGGAGCCTGCTTCTCCCTCTGCCTGTGTCTGCCTCTCTCTCTCATTGTGTGTCTCTCGTGAATAAATAAATAAATCTTAAGATGAAAAAAAAAAGACTTTAATTTATCTCAAAGACAAAAGCTCTGGCTACTCTAATATGTCCACATGGTCAATCCATGTGAACACATGATAGATAGTAAACATCATCCTTCCCATGTCAGAGGCCGGCAGGAGGAGATAGAGCAGGGGGCAGGAAAGAGCAGAATACCAACATGACGAGGTGCTAAAGCCATGCTATAAATTATCTTTTGGTCACTCATGGCTGCATTTTAAAAAAAGCTGATAAAAAGGCAGGACCTATCCGTCCTTTAGAGGAATACAAGTATTGTATGAAAGCATCTTCATAACTCACTAACAACAGAGCTGTGCTCCCAACCCTCACATAACTTGCCCAATGAGTGAAGAATTGCTAGGTTAAAAAGGCAACAGCAAGAAGCTCTATAAGAAGCTCTATATGCTGACAATGGGAGGGAGCAACGAAGACCGGTTCCCTGGGCTCTAAACTTTGACAGACTGCCCTGCTAATCCTTCCCAAATCCCCCAATGTTGGGGTGGGGGTGGGGGACAGAACAGAAAACAATCCAAAATTGAATCAAGGACAGTAGCTCTGGATTACAGGAGGTTATAACATTCCTATTTGAATGGGGGTTGGGTGGGCAGCAAGGCTGTCACAGGGCATATACAAAAGCCTGTATGTTTATAAAAACACAATACAAAAATAAATTTTATTCCTGATCCCTTTGATGTGGTAACCAACATCTGCCCCCAATCATTTGCCAGCCCAGGCTGCATGGAAGGCACAGAGTAGCAGGCATTTTCACACAGTGAGGCTGGAAGAGATGCTACTAGAGTGTAAATTACTAATTAGCTCAATAGAAGACAAAGAGAGAAAATACCTGTCACAGAATGCTGTTTACAACTTGACATATAATAAAAACAACCCTGAAAATTTCAGAAGAGTGTCTTACTTTTCAGACTTCTATTAACATGTAAATGGGAAAAGAATAGTATTATAGTGTTTAAAAACTGCCCATGCCTCAGAAACAATAATGCATGACTAGAAAGAATGCTTTCCAAATAATTTAAAATTTTCTCATCCTTATGAAAGCTAAGTGTTTTTAATTATTACAATCAGCTTTAACAAGGAGCTATATTTCATAGCTTTGGGGTGGGGGGAAGCCCTCAAGTGCTGTATTTTACATACATCAGAATACAGCTAATAGTCCTTTTACTGAAATTGAACAGGCCTCATTCTGCAGGTCATGCTTTTATGAAATGGACTGGCTACCATTTTAATAAAGATTGAGGATGAGCTGGAAGTTAGTAGCGGGATGGGGTCCATTAAATCTCCTTATATGATGACAATTAAAGACTCCCAAAATTTAGGTTTATTTTGGGGGAAGGATATTTATATTCATTCCCCTACCATAAAGTAAACCTAATTTGTATTAATTGCAACCTTAGGTTCTTAAGGAAGTACATTTTACACTTAGATCACTTCCAGCTCCTTGATGCTATAGAAGGATCTTCAATATCTATATTTCACCTAAATATGTCTCAGTCACAGTGATGAACAGGCCTGTGGCTCCTGTTTTCACATAATAATCACCCATATGGGGCACCTGGGTGGCTCAGTCCATTAAGCATCTGCCTTTGGCTCAGGTCATAGTTTTGGTATCCTAGAATCAAGCCCCATGTCAGGCTCCTCACTCAGCAGAGTCTGCTTGTCTCTCTCCCTCTGCACCTCTCCCTGCTCGTGCTCTCTCTCAAATAAAGAAAAACTTAAAAACTAATAAACAAATCATCACCCATACATCATTACCAGGTATCATATCCTGAAGACTCCCGTGTGTATGAACACACCATGCCAGATGCTTAGAAGGTCCCCAACAGAGGTGTACACCATGACATGGTTTTGCTGATGAGGGAGGGACCTACAAACTCGTCATTCACAGGTAAAAGAATGTTTTTCAGAATACAGTGAAGAAAAGAAAGCCTATGACCCCCAAATCCACTCTCAATCCAATCTTGACATTTCTTTGCATCACAACATTTTTACAAAAATCAAACATGCCAACTTGCTTATACATTCAAAACACTCTTCCCTTTTCTTTTCAAAATTAGGCCTTCCTATCCACTTGTTTTCAAACTTACTTGAAAAATACTCAAATAAAAGAAAATGATAAAGCAAATGGGGCAAAATGAGAAACTGGTGAATTTGAATAAGGGTACAGAGAAGTTCTATACCATCTTTGCTACTTTTCCATAAGCCTGAAACATCCTAAGAATATCAAATGTCACACATACACAAGCATTAAAAGAAGCTCTCTCTCACAGGGTTGTTGAGAGTTTCAAACATTTCACAAACTTAGCTCATGGTGAGCAATTAGTAAATGCTTATTATTAGGTATTTTAAAAAATGAGTGGATCAACTATAACAAATGAACCACTCTGGTGAGGGAGTGTTGATAACGGGGGAGGCTGGTTGTGCATGTAAGGGGACTATGGGAAATTTCTGCACCTTCCACTCAGTTTTGCTGTGAATCTAAGGCTGCTCTAAAAGAAAAAAATAAGTCTTAATAAAAAAAAAAGAGCAGACCAATTTATTTAACCAAATTAAAGCATCCATAAATATACTTAGTTTATTATTTACACAAACACATAAAGAGAAGACAATAAAAAACCAGGGGGAGTCTCAACAGACTCTCCTTGCTTATGGATATCTGCACTGAAACTGGAGTTCCATTTTTTCCTGAATGGATAGGTTCAAATCCTATCCTCCTGCACTGAAACTGGAGTTCCATTTTTCCTGAATGGATAGGTTCAAATCCTATCCTCACCACTTCCTAGAATTCTACAAGTTTAAAAAGGGGGGGGGGGGCGGTCTGAGTGTATCCTTGAGTGAGGGGAAATCATTTAATCCCAAGGAGGCTTTATTTCAGTAAAGTAAAATGGGAACAGGAGCAGCACCAACCTCTCAGGGTTGCTGCTAGGAGTAAATAAATTCTAATCTGCAAAGCACTTACAACAGTGGCTGGCATAAAAGCATATGGGTGGGGAGCTACTACTATTAAGTTTATGAAGAACTAGGATTTTTTTTTTTTTAATTTTTTTTTTTTTATTTATTTATGATAGTCACAGAGAGAGAAAGAGGAAGAGACATAGGCAGAGGGAGAAGCAGGCTCCATGCACCAGGAGCCCGATATGGGATTCGATCCCGGGCCTCCAGGATCGCGCCCTGGGCCAAAGGCAGGCGCCAAACCGCTGCGCCACCCAGGGATCCCAAGAACTAGGATTTTAATACTATAGTAAGCAAATATTTTTACTCAAAAATGAAGAATGAAGCAACACAAAACACATATAAACACAGCATTACATGTATGGTGGTTAGAGAGAAAGTAGACTGTCCTAATAAAGAAAATAACTACATACCAGAAAAGACTATCTGCAAAGGTTGCCACACTATGTCTGATGATTTCTGAAAACAGGATAAATTTTTATCTACCTGGATGATTTAAGTGGGATATTGACTGAAGTTGCAGGACAAACTAGAGGTCTTCTCAAGGTCTCTTCCCATCCAAAGAATCTATGATTAACCAGAAAAACATTTAGGTATGTACCAACTACTCATTCAAATCTGAATATGTAAATTAAGCGTATTGCTTAGCAAATAAGATTATAACCAAAATAAAGTTCAATTGAGTAGAATTCACCTGATGAACAAATGAAAACAAAGCTCACATTTATCACTGGAGTCCTTATTGATGAATAATATTATTTGAACCAAAAGATTACCTATTTTCAGCTTTAGAAATATCAACTGAGAAATGACCATTCCCAATGAGAATCAGTGATTTAGCACACTATTGCAGCATATAGAAAAGACAGGACCCAAATGGATTCTTTCCTACGGCTGACCTTAGAGTTTATATTTCCTTCTTCATCAACATCACATAAGCCTAAAATTATTTATATAAAGACATCAAGTATAAAACAACTATAATATAAAAATGGCAAAACCATAAACAGAATACAAACTGTTAATAATGCCAAACATATTGAGACAGCAAGGGAATATGCACAAACATCCAACAGAAACAGGTGCCCCATTCCAAGTTACTCTTAAGATTAAAAGTTAACATTTCAAACTAATCTTCTTCAAATTTAGCAGCAAAAACAGTAATTTCTAAAAATCTTGTATTAGGGCAGCCCGGGTGGCTCAGTGGTTTAGCGCCGCCTTCAGCACGGGGTGTGATCTTGGAGACCCGGGATCAAGTCCCACATGAGGCTCCCTGCATGGAGCCTGCTTCTGCCTCTGCCTCTGCCTCTCTCTCTCTCTCTCTGTGTGTCTCTCATGAATAAATAAAATATTAAAAAAATAAAAGTAAATAAAAATAAAAATCTTGTATTAAATTACAAAATCAATGTAGTCACCTTGAACACTTGCTTAAGAGAATCCAGACAGATTTTAGATTCTGAATTGACATATATTAACCAGTTTTTCTGATATCTACTAATCAAAATATAATTTTGCTGTTACAAACGCCATCATTTTTGCTGTTTATACAAACACCCATAAAACAGTGGCAATACAAAATTTACACAACTTTGGAAAAAAGTTATCTTTGTGTATCTGAATGTACCCTAAAATAACCTCAAATAAGATTCTCAAGATCAGTTTGCATTTTTTTCCTTAAGTAAATTATAGCTATCCTTGACACTATCAAATAAAAAGTAATAATCATTCACATTCTTAGCTAAATATAAAAGCTTCAGAATAAAAATCATCAAACCAAAATAGTAAGAATAATCTAAATTTTGTACCAAATTTCTCATCCTCCTTTTAATTTCCATGCCTTAAAAGTCAAAAGCTTCTAGGAAATGAATATTAATATGGCCTTCTTTATTCATAACTACAAAATAGAAGAGGCAGTGGAAATGTCCAGGCATTGCTTTATTGTATAGAGGCTTTTTCATGATAAAAGTTACTCATATATTCATTACGTAACCTAAAAAAGAAGTCCCACTCTAAAATTCTCCTACAAATCTCTTTATTCCATTTAGTTAAATGCGTGAGTTACCTACTATAGTGTGAAATGTCCCACATAAAGCTAAAGGCAGCTTAGAAACTCAAAGCCCTCACAGTCCTGATTTAAATCTCTTCTCCAGCAAACTTCCCTGGTTGGTTATTTGCCTTCTTCTGAAATGATTTCTCAATATTCTCCAGCCATCAAAAAACAATTAGGCCGAAATATGGTTGATTAATCAAAACAAAAAGATGTTCATCTTTTTCTATCTCAACAACAGTGGGCTCTCCACTGAAAATGAAATGCTGTGGATAAAACACTCTACCCAGTGCTGTTAGGTACACCCTGCTACAACACAACACTATCACACTACACAGGCGGAGCCACACTGCAAATAAATAAAACCTGTATTCCCATTATCACAACACTAGCAAAACACAGAGGTTTCCAACACTGAGTTGACGCTTCATCATTCACAGAAGAACAAAATCAAATCAAAATGGGTCTCATCTTTTCAAAGTGGACATGGAAGTAGAATTAAAAGCAATGAAAGGTGGAAAACAGATTTAAGATGTCTTTAAGAGAAAAGGAGGTTTCTGGAATTTCCTACTTTTGTGGACAAAAGGACCCACAGTTTCAACACACTTACAGTTCTCTTCTCAACAAAGAATTCCTTTCCTGCACAACACTTCCCCTCCCCAATCTCCACTCTTACTTTTCAGCGTTTACTCCTATCTCTAGGTCTCTTTTCACTCACCAAGGTTCCTCCTCTTCTGCACCAAAGGCTCCCTACACTTGATCCTTCACTATAGTGTCTGTGCCCTGACCCATGCAGACCTTCTGGAGCATCTCCCCATAACACGCACATTTGATTCCCACTCCTGTAGAGTCTAGCCCAGTTCTTCATCCAGCAGGACTTCTCCAGCTTCCCTTAACCCTGTTCTCTTCCCTTACACTCCATCTCATCCTTTAATTCCCAGGGCCCATCTCTTCCTTGCTCCTCTCACCATCCCCTTTCAGCCCTGTCTCTCCACCTCACTGTTTTTACCTTGGATCTGGCTGAACCTCGTCAATTAACACAATTCCCCAGTGACCCTGTCCCAGACCGCCATCACTTCTTTACACCCTCTTTCAGCTTGTCTGGTCTCAGAATTGTCCTATAAATGCCCCACCTCTCATCTGTTTCCTTTCATCCTTCCACTACGCTTATTCCTAACTCCACCTGGTCCTCATCCAGTGTCTAATTCACCCTCCCTCACTTTAAAAAATTTACACCCATCGCCCACCCACTAACCCATACCTTCCTCAGAACCTCTCGATTCCCACACCACCGCGGGTCCTAGTCCTTCAGCTCATCTCGCTCTGCACTAGTTCACACCCTTGTCACGTCTGGCTCTTAATCACCCTCTCTCCTCTACTCCCAACTATCACCCCAGCTCTGCCCCTCCTTGCCTTCCACTTCCAACTCTTACCCCAGCATGCTAACCCTGCTACTATCCCCCTAGAAAGCTCTGGTCCTCAAACCCCTGCTCTTACACCTAACCCCAGCCTTGGTCTTCCTAACCTCATTCCCGGCCGGCTTCCTAGACACCCACCCTGGGTTTTGCCTCCTTCCTACCTCCTTGGCTGGCTTTTTCTCACTCCTCCTCTCCCTGCCTTCTAACCCTTTTCCCCCTTAATCCTCATCTCATTCTTAGACCCGTTTCCCCCCGCAGCTCCTAAGCCTTCCTTCCCTTCTCCTCTCAAGGTTCCCCCCCCCCCAACCTAGTCGTCGCCCACCCCGCCAAAATAAAGCCCCGGCGCGCCCGGACAGCCGGCTCTCGCCTCCGCCGGCCCCCGCCCCGGGCGCCCCCAGCCCGCCGGCGCCGCGGTCCCGCCCCCTGCCGCCGCTCCTCCCGCCCGCGAGGCGCGCGCCGCCTTTGTCGCCCCTCACCCGGTGTATGAGGATTTGGCTTCTTTAAAGGGGAGGGCCACTGTGCCGGAGACTCCTGTCCCCGCCTCCGCGTCTTAGAATGGGCTCCCTGGCCGTCGCGTCCTCCCCGGTCCTCGTCCCCCCACCCCCTGGAGCTACCCCCTTGGCTGCCTCCCCACCTCCTCCGCCCCCTCCCCGACCCCCCCTCTATTTACCGCCATCATCAGCACGCGCGAGCTGTCACCAGGGCGCGAGACAACCGAACCCGGCCCCGCCTCCTGCCCGCCCATTGGCCCGCCCGCCGGAGCCCCGCCCCCAGGGCCCCGCATTGCGCCAACGGCGCAGCGCTCGGCCCCGACCCCGGCACAGCCAGCCTCTCCGAGGGTTCGCGCCACGGGCGCAAAGTTTAGGGTTAGCCACAAACGTGCGGCCGATTTGAGCCTGGCGTAAGGGGCGGCGGCGTAGAGAGGCGTCGTGAATCGCGGGTCGAAGTTTGGTTGAAGCACAGGAGAGTAAATAAGGAGGTTTCCAGACAAAGAGACTCTTAAAGGTACAGAGTCTTAAGGCTGTCCCTCCTCCTTAAAGGGCCAGACTCTCCGAGCCCATCTCCGCCCCCTTCTCCCCAGCACTTCAGCCCGCGCGGAACAGTGAAGGAATTCTCCATTAGTTCTCCGCACACTTTTTGGAGCTCCTTTAACATCTTTCCCCACTGCCAAGGGGAAGAGCTTTTCTCACTATCCTATGTTTTCGTTTTGTTCCGTTAAGAGACTTATTGTTAACTTGCGTCGTTCCGAAAGCAGCCGCCTCCGAACCCTGAGGTGTCCCCAGGCAGCAGCGTTTGCGAAAGTTACTATTGGCTACCAGACGGGTGAGCACGTGTCTGACTTTTGCCACTGAAGACCCAGGAGGGACCCAGCTGTTTGATGACAATCTCCCACCCCACCCTCCCACAAGGAAGAGGTTCACTGCCAAAAACTTAAGAAGTTCAGATTGTAGGGATAGAGACCACAGGGAAACAACAGCGGCTACTTCTACTAGTCTGTTCTGCCCCCAGAAAAGGCTTCCTCCAGAGGCTGCATTGTTCTAACCTAACTCGCGGGAGGTGACGCTACCCTCCAAATTACAAATAACAGGCCAACACTGTTACATCACCCAATCACATGGCTAAAGCAGGTAAAGCCTTACATGTCAATGGACAAGTTAAAGACATAAACATATGGCTTAACAGCTACACTGACTCAAAGCTACACACTTGTCAGTATGAAATAGAGAAGCACAAAAGCTAAAGAACAACAAAATTAGAAGGGAGAAACAGTAAGTGCATCTGTAAGCATGCACCTACAATGCCTGCAGCCAAGCGTACTTAAGTGTGAAAACATGTCTAAAGGTAATTAACCTGGACATTTTAAAGGGGTTTGATGATGGAAGGAAAGGACCTGGAGATTGATTTGGTGAGGGTCTGCCATGTGGTTCAAGAGCTCAAAGTAAGATCTAAAACTTAGCATTCCTTTTGTTGCCTGTCTTTAATTCTTTTAAAAATCTTATATTTTAACTCCTTTTTTTTAAGATTTTAATTTATTCTTGAGAGATAGAGAGGCAGAGACAGAGACATAGGCAGAAGCAGGCTCCATGCAGGGAGCCCAATGT